AGTTGAAATATTCTTCTTAGGAAGACCAGAGAGCAGGGCATTACAGTAATCAATGCGACTGGTAATGAAAGCATGCATCAGCATCTCCGTGTTGGCCCGAGAGAGAATAGGGCGGACTCTGGCTATATTTTTTAGATGATAAAATCCAATTTTGGTTACATGTTTAACATGTGGGATAAAACCAAGCTCAGAGTCAAAAATAACACCCAGGTTTTTCACTTGTAGCGATGGACATAGTGAAAATGCCTCTAATTTAGACAAGAGTTTCTCTCTCTGAGCCTCAGGACCGACGATTAAAACTTCAGTTTTGTCCTGGTTAAGTTGTAAAAAGTTTTCTGCCATCCAAGATCTTATATCCAAGATACAGTTAAAAAGGGCATCCATTGGTCTGGTGTCATCAGGAGACACGGAGAAGTACAGCTGCGTGTCATCAGCGTAACTGTGGAAGTTCACTCCATGCCTCCTGATGACACTGCCGAGAGGCAACATATACAAATTAAAAAGTACGGGGCCTAGAACCGACCCTTGAGGCACACCACATGTCATTTTATGGATCTTAGAGGAGCATGTGTCCATACTCACCATAAAAGATCTGTCAGAGAGATAGGAAGTGAACCAGCTGTGTACAGCACCAGAGAGGCCCACCATGTGTTTCAGTCTGTTTAAAAGAATAGCGTGGTCTACTGTATCAAAGGCTGCGCTTAGATCCAGTAGCACCAGGACTGAGAGCTTTTGGGCGTCCCAGTTACATCTAAGATCATTTAAAACCTTTAGGAGAGCCGTCTCTGTGCTGTGGTTCACCCTAAATCCAGACTGGAATATCTCCAGGATCTGTCTATCATTGAGAAAATCAGTAATCTGAGTAAAAACAAGATGGCACTGATGTATTTCTCAACCTGCTGAATCTCAGGAATGTTCCACGTGATGTGAACCTGGGTTCTTCTGCAGAACGACTTCTATCCAGACAGACTCGAACTACGCTCCCAATCACAACGAAACTGCTCGAACCACAACACTGTGAATCTGAGAGAGTGAAAGCCCAACTACTCAACAAGAGACTGACTCAGAAGGTCTGTTATGACAGATCCAGCCGACCACTTCCACCTCTCAACGAAGGACAAGTAGTAAGGTTACAGACCCCACAGGGTTATGACCGCACAGGTGTGGTGAAGGAACTTTGTAAAGAACCTAGATCCTACCTGGTACAGTCAGATGGAAACGCTTACAGGAGAAATCGCAGACACATATTGCCTGTGTCTGAGCCCGTTACTGTTCAGGAAGACACTGATCATCATCATTATGATAGACTGCAGGGTGTGGATGAAAATAATGATGTAGAACAGTTTAAAGACAGCACTCATGTTGAGAGCTCTTCTGATGTTTTGCATTCTCCAAGACCTTCCAAGAGTGATGGTGCTTACAGGACACGCTTTGGTCGTGTGTGCAAACCAAATCCAAGATATAGGGATTAATTTGGTGCTAGTTAAAAAACACAGAACATTTTCAGGTTTGATGTTTTAGCCAACAGTAACTGATGTCAATGCCTCAAGTTAAATTCTGTTTGAGGTGATTTTCAGTTGTAATCATATTTTACTTTATACAGCAAAATGATATTTTTGTTATGTTTATTTCTTCCATCTGGTTGCAAATTTAAATGTTCCTAAGGGTCAGCGTATGTCACCTTTTATGCTGTGAGTATTATTATTCAATATGCACTAAACTTTATATCCGGTTGGGGAAGTACTAAAGAAGGGGGATGTAGATAACCTGCTGTTAGTTTGGTATTTTGTCCTAGTCCGCTTGCCGTACCTCCGAGTAGGTGTGTGTATGTTTTGAGTGGTATAGGCGCCATTCGTTTATGGAATCCAAGCATGTAAGTTCTCTGCTGCTGTGCTGGTTAATAAAACCACGTTAACCGAGACCACTGCTTCATCATTATCACACTGGTGAACATACAACAAAAACATAGTTGACTTTTTTTGTGCTTAAAAGGTGAGACCAGATTATCTGGATCTGGATCAACTCGATGCTCTGGCAGAGTTGAAATTTACTACAATAACAGCTGGGGAACAGTCTGTGATGATCGCTGGGACTTAAATGATGCTCAGGTGGTTTGCAGACAGATAAACTGTGGGTCGGCACTGGAAGTTCCTCAATCAGCTCACTTTGGTGCAGGAACTGGACAGATCTGGCTTGACAATGTGACCTGTTCAGGAAATGAAAGTTCTCTAACTGAGTGTCAACACAGTGGATTTGGATCAAACAGATGTGAACATGGTCAGGATGCTGCTGTCATCTGTTCGGGTGTGAAAACTGCTGGATCAAGATGATATTGCAAGCTGTATTTAACTGCTTTTCATGTTCTTTGCCTTTTAGATCTGATCAGGTTGGCCGGTTCTGGATCGAGCCGATGTTCTGGCAGAGTTGAAATCTTTCACAATGATGTCTGGGGAACAGTCTATGATTATAACTGGGACCTAAATGATGCTGAGGTGGTTTGCAGACAGTTAAACTGTGGGACTGCACTACAAGCTCCTCAATCAGCTTACTTTGGTGCAGGAACTGGACAGATTTGGCTCGGTGGTGTGAGGTGTTCAGGAAATGAAAGTTCGCTAACTGAATGTCAAAGTTCTGGATGGGGAAACTCCTACTACTACTACTATGGACATAATTATGATGCTGGAGTCATCTGTACAGGTGACATCACTTTTTGACATGGAACATACTGCATATTAATGTGTTTTTGTGTGATATGTATCTTGTTTTCTTTAAGGGACATATATTAAAACATCGTTTGTGTCACGTGTTTTTAAAAGGTCCAATCAGATTAACTGGATCTGGATCAAGTCGGTGTTCTGGCAGAGTTGAAATTTACTACAATAACAGCTGGGGAACAGCCTGTGATGATGGCTGGGACTTAAATGATGCTGAGGTGGTTTGCAGACAGTTAAACTGTGGGTCGGCACTGGAAGTTCCTCAATCAGCTCACTTTGGTGCAGGAACTGGACAGATCTGGCTTGACAATGTGACCTGTTCAGGAAATGAAAGTTCTCTAACTGACTGTCAACACAGTGGATTTGGATCAAATGGATGTGAACATGGTCAGGATGCTGCTGTCATCTGTTCAGGTGAGAAGTTCTTTTGATCATCAGATGAATGTTAATCACTGTAAAAATAACTTTCTTTTAGACTTCTATCTTCCACTTATTAGTGTGTTTCATAATGAAATTCAGTGTGAACAGTTAAAGTCATCTGTGCAAGAACCACACTGTAGAATATTTGAGTGGTAAAATGTTTGCATCTTTCTCTTTAAACGCAGCTCAGATCCAGAGAGCTATACATTACTTTTCAAATAACTTATAAGATTAGAGATTTCATTTTAAATACCTTAAAGGAACATTTTAATAGTTTCAAATGAACATTTATGAGCGGGACATGGAAGATATTTTCAGAGAGGGAAAGTCAGCCTGACATCTGTGTGTGTGTGTTACTGTTTCTTTGTGAGCACCAACATCTTCATTCTACTACACTTGTGAGAACCAATAGTCAGTTGTGAGGACACACAAACCGGTCCTCAAAATTAGAAGGCTTTTAAAGGCATTCTTGATGCTCAAAATGTGGTTTTAGTGTCAGGGTTACAATTAGGTTATGGTTAGATTTAGGGTAAGGGCTACGGTTAGGCATTCATTTTTAAGGGTTAGGGTAAGGGGCTAGGGAAAGCATTATTTCAATGAAGTTCCTCACTAAGACTGCTGAACGGGCTTGTGTGTGTGTGTGAGTGTGTGCGTGTTTAAGGAAGACCATACCCCTGAAAGATTTGATCAAGTCTGCAACTTGAAGTTTTCTTAGTCCTTTTCAGGTCTTGTAATTGAAACAATTCAAACAAAGTCTCCTGCTTCAACTTTCTTAATGTGGATGTTCTGCAGTCCTCAAAAACTCTGTCATAATACAAATTTTGGAGCTGAATGTCTTTGTAGGTCAGGAGTGAATCCATTGGACTTTTTATAGACTGTTTTATTAGGGTTCAAGCTGTGTGGACTGACAGTATTACACCTTTCAGTTTACCGTTCTGCTATAACTTGGAATCTGTGGCTGGACACTAAAATAATTCTATGTTTGGTCCTCTTCATATCATCTCTGTGTTTTGTTTTCAGCTGTGTCCATCATTTTAACTGGATCTGGATCGACTCGATGTTCTGGAAGAGTTGAAGTTTATCACAATAACAGCTGGGGAACAGTCTGTGATGATGGCTGGGACTTAAATGATGCTCAGGTGGTTTGCAGACAGTTAAACTGTGGGCCGGTACTGGAAGTTCCTCAATCAGCTCACTTTGGTGCAGGAACTGGACAGATTTGGCTTGACAATGTGACCTGTTCAGGAAATGAAAGTTCTCTAACTGAGTGTCAACACAGTGGATTTGGATCAAATAGATGTGAACATGGTCAGGATGCTGCTGTCATCTGTTCAGGTGTGAAAACTGAAACACGATATTGCAAGTAAGCCTTTTTTGTTTGTGTACTGCATTTTTGAAGAATACATTAATGTATTTTTCATGTTCTTTGCCTTTTAGATCTGATAGGGTTGGCTGGTTCTGGATCGAGCCGATGTTCTGGCAGAGTTGAAATCTTTCACAATAACGTCTGGGGAACAGTTTCTGATAATGACTGGGATCTAAATGATGCTCAGGTGGTTTGCAGACAGTTAAACTGTGGGTCTGCACTACAAGCTCCTCGATCAGCTTACTTTGGTGCAGGAACTGGACAGGTCTGGCTCAGTGGTGTGAGCTGTTCAGGAAATGAAAGTTCTCTAACTGAATGTCAACACTCTGGATGGGGAAACCCCTACTACTACTACTACAATATACATTATTCTGATGCTGGTGTCATCTGTTCAGGTGACATCACTCATTGACATGGAACATACTGCATATTAATGTGTTTGTGTGTGTCATGTATCTTTGTTTTCTTTAAGGGACATATATTAAAACATCGTTTGTGTCATGTGTTTTTCATTAAAAGGTGTGATCAGATTAACTGGATCTGGATCGACTCGATGTTCTGGCAGAGTTGAAGTTTATCACAGTAACAGCTGGGGAACAGTCTGTGATGATGGCTGGGACTTAAATGATGCTGAGGTGGTTTGCAGACAGTTAAACTGTGGGTCTGCACTACAAACTCCTCGAACAGCTTACTTTGGTGCAGGAACTGGACAGATTTGGCTTAACAATGTGACCTGTTCAAGAAGTGAAAGTTCTCTTATTGGGTGTCAACACAGTGGATTTGGATCAAACACATGTGAACATGGTCAGGATGCTGCTGTCATCTGTTCAGGTGAGATACACTGAAATACTAGATAACATTGCAGATCAGTCTTTTCTTGTGCATTTTACATGGAGTCCTTTAATTAGTGCAATGGAAATTTTAAAATATCTTTCATCTGTTATGAGATAGATGCAATCAGACTAGTTGGATCTGGATCAACTCGATGCTCTGGCAGAGTTGAAATTTACTACAATAACAGCTGGGGAACAGTCTGTGATGATCGCTGGGACTTAAATGATGCTGAGGTGGTTTGCAGACAGATAAACTGTGGGTCGGCACTACAAGCTCCTCCGTCAGCTCACTTTGGTGCAGGAACTGGACAGATTTGGCTTGATGAGGTGACCTGTTCAGGAAATGAAAGTTCGCTAACTACGTGTGTACACAATCAATTTGGATCACACAACTGTGATCACAGGGAGGATGCTGGTGTCATCTGTTCAGGTGAAATAACCTGAAATACTAGAAGACATTGCACTTCAGGCTGTTCCAGTGTGTTATACACTATTTATAATGTCACTAACACATGATATGAAAGTTAATCTCTTTTCCCTCATAGATGTGATCAGATTAGTTGGATCTGGATCAACTCGATGCTCTGGCAGAGTTGAAATTTACTACAATAACAGCTGGGGAACAGTCTGTGATGATGGCTGGGACTTAAATGATGCTGAGGTGGTTTGCAGACAGATAAACTGTGGGACAGCACTCGAGGCTCTTCCGTCAACTCACTTTGGTGCAGGAACTGGACAGATTTGGCTTGATGAGGTGACCTGTTCAGGAAATGAAAGTTCGCTAACTACGTGTGTACACAATCAATTTGGATCACACGACTGTGATCACAGGGAGGATGCTGGTGTCATCTGTTCAGGTGAGATACATTTTTAGATATTGAAAAATTGCAATGCAGTCTATTTTTGTATCTTGTACATTCCTTTTTTTAAATTTAAATAACCTATCAAACCATAGTTCTTTTCATTTAACTGATAGGTCCGATCAGATTAGCTGGGCCTGGATCAACTCGATGCTCTGGAAGAGTTGAAGTTTACTACAATAACAGCTGGGGAACAGTCTGTGATGATCGCTGGGACTTAAATGATGCTGAGGTGGTTTGCAGACAGATAAACTGTGGGTCGGCACTACAAGCTCCTCGATCAGCTCATTTTGGTGCAGGAACTGGACAGATTTGGCTTAACAATGTGACCTGTTCAAGAAGTGAAAGTTCTCTTATTGGGTGTCAACACAGTGGATTTGGATCAAACAATTGTGGACATTTTGAGGATGCTGCTGTCATCTGTTCAGGTGAGAATGGTTTTAGATACTGAAAAAAATGCAATGCAGTCTGTTCCTTTATCTTGTACAATCCTTTTTGTAATGTAAAGAAAATATCAAACCATAGTTCTTTTCATTTAACTGATAGGTCCGATCAGATTAGCTGGGCCTGGATCAACTCGGTGCTCTGGCAGAGTTGAAGTTTATCACAGTAAGAGCTGGGGAACAGTCTGTGATGATGGCTGGGACTTAAATGATGCTGAGGTGGTTTGCAGACAGATAAACTGTGGGTCGGCACTACAAGCTCCTCGATCAGCTCATTTTGGTGCAGGAACTGGACAGATTTGGCTTGATCATGTGACCTGTTCAGGAAATGAAAATTCTCTAGCTGAGTGTCAACACAGTGGATTTGGATCAAACAGATGTGAACATGGTCAGGATGCTGCTGTCATCTGTTCAGGTGAGATACATTTTTAATCATTAAAAAACTGTGTAAATACAACTTTTTAGTTTTTCATCCAGCCTTTCATCCACCCATTTGTATACAGTTAAGCTGTACAGTAAACAGTATGTTGATAAATCCTTGCCTTATTTTTTGTAAAAATGGGTCAAATACAATAAATATCATGCTCCAAGAATTTCTACATCTGTTAAGACAAATGTCCTCTTAAAGACATTGATATTTTTCAGTAACTGCCTGTCATACGAATCACTTTTCTAGTATTGCATATAAAACTTGCCTGCAGGTGTGATCTTATTGTTAATTAAATCCTCATTAGATGCTGACAGGTCTTAGCCAGCTCTGGTTTGGATACAAATGCAGCTTGTCAGACAAGGCTGAATCACTCATGAAAGTGATCTTGTTGAAATTTGCAACGTAATCAGTTTCAATTTTTAATCTGTTTTTAAATTGAAAATCTCCAAGTTGACTTCCAACAGAAGAAGCTGTGCAATCTTGTGCACACATTTTGAGATGCTCACATGTGCTTCTGCTTCTTGTGTTGAAATATTGTATTACAATTTTATTTATTTCACTCCATCTAGTAATTTTCTATTCATTAGACAAATAATAAAAATCCTAAACATATTGTGTAATTGAAGTAGAGAAACTTGTATATAGATCAATTATCAACAATATCAAAACTATAATAAAACACAATGACATGCTATAGCTCAGTTTGCTTTGTTGGGACAATGTTGAGGTGGTCAGCTGTCTTGAAAATAGCATCCACATGAATGCCAGGTCAGAACTCTCCCAGCAGTACATTCAAAATGATCTGAAATTGAAAATACCTGAGATATATCTAAATATTGTGTCTGATTAATTTACTCACTGATGAAAGGTGATTTCTTTTCTTTTGTCAGCATGTGGTAGGATTGTGAAAAACACAGGAAGTTTGCCCTGGCGGGTCATTATAAACCCCAGTGGAGAGTTTTGGTGTGAAGGGTCTCTGATTACCAACCAGTGGGTGCTGACAGCTGCTTCCTGTATATCACAGTGAGTCCCCGGGTCTCTTTCACATTGGTAATCATGTTACACGTGACTGTTGGTGTTCATTTTACATTTACTGTAATAATTTTTCTTCCACTACATTATGTCAAAGTTATTCATGAAAGCAGGAATGTTTAATTACCTGCAATTTATATTTCAAAAATTTTTTTTCAAGGTCACAAAGAGCTCTCCACCATCTCTGTTAAGTAGTACAGCTAGGGCTGGACAAAATGATTATTTTCCTAATTGATGAATCTAACGATTAATTTGTCGATGCATCAATGAATCTAACGATTCATTTTTTTCCTGCTGCCAATTTGCTGTCTCACATTTTCGTCTTTCGCCGATTCTCATAATCAGCCTGCGTGCATTCCGACTCATTTTGCCAGCATGGGCCACAAATAAAAACTACTAACAACGACAACAACAACAACAACTAAACAGCAGCTGCTATGTTACTGCTGAGCAGCTTAAATGTGGGGGCCATTTCCACCTTACAAAGCCAGGAAACGACTGAATCACTTCCTTTTCTGTTAAAATATCCCCATACTGTAGAACTGTGTGTTCGGGTGGAGTGATTTAAGTCGACTGCGGCTGCCTCACTGATGCTGTCACCACTCGCTGCCGCCATATCTGTTTTGAAAGTGACAACATATCGACGCACATTTTTTTACGTCGCCGTATTTTACGTGTCGACGTAATCGATTATGTCAATGCGTTGTCCCGGCCCTAAATATAGCATGTAACTGATCAAGCAGACCAATTCTGTAAGTGGTCCACATCTCTGGTTTAACTGCTGTCCACAACATATAGATGGACCATAGTCTAAAATATTCATACATCTTAAGAATATCATGTTTTCACAGAGAACTGTGATACCTCTCATTGTTACTATGTTAAATGACAGATCCATTAAATGCAAAGTTACAGTCAGCAGCTTGTTGTCTTAGCCCTAAAAGATCTGTCATCATGTGTTGATGATGACCTAATCCTACTCTGCAATTTAGGAAAATAGAACCAACCCTGGCTAGCAGGTGCTTCCTGATATAAACTCAGATGATCTAAAGTATGACACTAAATGTGATTCAGAGCAGTGTTTTTCTTTTGTATGTATTTTCTAAAGCAGTTCAACAATATCATTATCACATAATAAAATATCTAAAAGCTTCTATGTTATTTACAGTAAGATGTATCCACAACAGACAACATAAGTTTTTTGGGTTTTTTTTTTTTGGTTTGTTTTGATGTATGAATGGATGTAGGATTTAAATGCATAGAAGGAATGCATCTGTGTTAGGATTAAAAACTGGTATGTAGTCCTCACTTTCAACAAAATTTGAAATGGAGGCTCAGTGAGACAGCCTTTTGTTGCTATGTCATCTAATATTTGCCATGTGATTTGGACGCACCAGCACATCCATTAACTTTTTATTTTTGAAGGTTAGCATAAAAACTTTAAATAAGAAATCCTCTGCTCTGCCTGAAGATAACAAAATTCAACTATGCAAACACACACGCACACACAAACACACACACTTTATATCGTTGTGGGGACATCTCATTGACACAATGCTTTCCCTAGCTGCTTACCTTAACCATAACCATCAAAAATGAATGCCTAACCCTGACACTTACCCTAAACCTAAACATAACCTAATTCTAACACTAAAACCACATTTTGAGTCTCAAAATGCCTTCAAACTCGTGGGGGCTGGGGTTTTGGTTGCCACAGGGGCTGCCGGTCCCCACAAGTAAACTTCAAACTTTTGGTTCCCACAAAGATGTTAAAACCCATCCATACGATATCCATCACATTATTTACATTGCTCATGATAAAAGATAGTCATGATAAAAGTATTTGTGATCATTTATGCAATAAATGTGTCCATTACTGAAAACGTGTACTGAAAATATTTCTTAGTATCTATTCTGAACTGTGATAACAAGATTCCTCTTTTGTGTTTTTTTGTTAAATCTTCTTTTAAAATCAAGTGATAAACTCAGCAACAAAGAAGTCCATCTGGGCCAGCACATTCAGTCAGGTTTCAGTCAAAATGTGGTGATTCGGACAGTTGAAGAAGTAATTTGTCATCCTGAATACAACAGCACGACATACAACAGTGACATTTGTCTGCTGAAGCTGTCAGCTCCTGTGTATTTCACAGACTACATTCAGCCGATCTGCTTAGCCTCAAAAAACAGCACTTTTCACAGTGGGATCAGCAGCTGGGTCACTGGTTGTGGTTTTGATTGTAAGTAAAAATAAAATCTATATCTATGTCTATATATATATTACAGTCTTATGATATATTCTTTCAAAAGTTGCTATCCTGCAATCTGTTTCAAAGATAGTGACGGGTATTTCTCCAACATCCAACAGATGTTACTATTCCAATAGTAGGAGGAAATGAGTGTCAGTGCCACTATAAACATGACAAAGTGATCACAGAGAACATGATCTGTGCTGGGCCCAGAGCTGGAAGACAAGATTCATGTTGGGTAATCACAACTTTTTATTTGTTTCTTATGTAATCACTTGTTAAATGCTAGTGTGAAAAAATATTTATGTTTTTGTTTCTGCAATTATTCATATATGTATATAGTAGCATACCAGTTCTTATGGTTGTTTAATAGCTAAATCATTTTATTTGATATATTTTGAATTTTCCATAAGACAGTTCTTTCTAAAATGACAGGACTGAGCTCCTTTGTGGAACAGGTCTACCAGCTAAAGTCACATTTATCGTGAGAAATATTTGTCAGATTTCATTTTATGGATTTACTATAATAGAAAAAAAAAACTCCAATGGGTTTTCAGTCTTTAATCTTTTCAGTTAAAAAGAACATGAAAACTATTAACTTCTTGAAAGTAACTCCAGTGCTATTTATGTATTATTTTTGTACAAATATACACACACTGTAAATAAATGGTGGCATTCTCCATTCTCCGTTTTGAAACTTCCATTTTTGTATTTATCTGCTACCATGTTGACTTTTACCAATTTCTTTTCTCAGTGGAAAAGAGGAGCTCCAATTATGATCAAAAAAGGATCAATCTGGGTGCAGAGTGGAGTTATGACCCTCCATGATTCCTATGGTTACCCAATGAAACTAGAAATCGGCACTCGTGTGTCCAAGTACCAGGAATGGATCAGAAACACAGTCACTGGGACACCACCAGGTTTCGTTAGCTTCACCTCTCCAGCCACAGACAGTGACTTAAAATTCACCTGCAGTGGTGAAAATCTGGTCCACTTCACCCCTTTCACCTCACTCTGTTTTCTTGCTGTGTTGCTCCATGCATATTTTGGATGTGGCATATAACTCAAGATCCTGTACTAAAACAATAACGTCAAATACTTATACATTAGTAGAGTTCTTAAATTTTTACTCTTGTCCTTATGACATTTTACAACTTTGAGGTGAAGTAGTAGTTTCTATTCTATTTATGGGACAGCTTGGGTTTGTGGTTACTTTACTAATTAAATAATATTTTTGCTTCCAAAACATAACACACACACACACACACACACACACACACACACACACACACACACACACACACACGCACATTATTTATTCTAAACATTGTACTTTTTAAACATGTGACTAAGAGTTGAAACTATATAAACATTTTGACAAACTTTTTTTTGGCAGATATATTGATGATTTTTTTTATTATTATATTCTTTATACTATATTCTTAATCACTAAATACATTCTTTATTAATCTTTTGTTAAAGTTAGATTTTCATTAATAAATAAAATGGTGAAATTTCTTTTTTCTGTTTTTGGTTGAATCTGGTTCTTGTTTGACATCCTGACATTTCTTGTTTTGACAGGATTTTTGTATACAGTTGTGCTTAATGATTAAATAAATACATAAATAAAACAACGTTTAAGCATTTCATTCCAGGCAGTAGAGAAATAAAAACAAAAAAACAAAAAAAACAAAGCCAAAACCTTGAGAAATGTTTTAAAAAAATAGCTTTTCTACATCCAGGAGACAGTATATGACTATATGATTCTTCAGAGCTACGATATGAACATAGCTCTGAAAAATGATCCAATGGAGTAGTGCTAGAACCAAAACAAATTAACAGTTGCCTTAAGTCACTTTATATTCTATGGTAAAGACCCTATTATAATGCAAACAAAACAGAGAAAGACCCAACATCATAATCAAGGGCTTTGGAGACAATGGGAAGAAAAAACTAAATTTAAACAGGAAGAAAACCTCAGCAGAACCAGGCTCAAGAA